CCCCAACTATATACATGCTGGAGCTGCATGTTAACAAACAAAATTCTAAATCTAAATGTTTAAAAATAAATAAAAGCAAGAAAGAACACAAACAAAACAAGAAATCAATAACTGAAAACTCACATGATAAACTTGATGAAATTTAAATAATAATGCGGATGATTTTTTTTTTCTTTCTATTTCTGTTAGGTTGTGTCTGGTCGGTACTGTACAGTACATGTTACATAGCATTTGGCCATTTTCAAATACATCATTAATCATTTAGCAGTATACCTCCAGCAAAACAACAGGAATGAAGCTGGTCGGGTCAACACTTGTTGAATATCCTTATCAGATTAACTAAGAGATATTTATTTTTAATGCATACAAAGTCTCTCTACCTTTAGAATTTTTCAAATATACATGGACTGCACGGGTTGGGTGTTCCCTGTTCAAGGAAAATCAATGGAAAATATGAAAAGTTGGGGTGATTTAAAAATACTTTCCAGATTTACATTATAGCTCTGAGATTGGAAGAAAAAGAACTTAAATGTGGAATCCTTCTTGTATAGAATTTTCTTTTTTTCATCTCTTGACTCCTATTGCTAGGTTGGAGTTTTAATCTGAGGTTTATAAGGATTTACATTAAAGCTAAGTTTAAGAGAAATATGGTAAAAAATCTTTTTCTTAGGAATTGTGGTCACAAGTAAAAACAAATTTTAAATGCAAGCTTTTCCTTGAAGTATCAGATTCAGTTCATAGCCCAAATTAGGCCAGCTAATAAGGGGGAACAGTATGTTGGCAAGGTTTACATGGGAAGATAAAGGGAAAATCAAAACTTAGTAAAGGGAAAATCTTTTTGAGAAAAATTATTTAATGACCAGCATGCGCATAATCACCATGCAAGCATCCCCAAAGTACCTTTGATTTGGGGTTAGTTTACGTAATGAAATAGGTGTACCATGTAGATTGCTACAAATAGATGGACCGCTGTAGGAGTCACTCACTTGAGAATTTACAAGAAATATGACAATTAAAAATGACCTTCCACACAATGACAGTGCTACAGTCAAACTAATAAGTAGAGACAGATTTGTTCATGTCACTAACATTTGTACAATGGGGCTCTCCAGTTTTACAAATTAAGTAAGAAGGTATAAGGAACATTGTGGCTAAGTGAAAGTATTGTTGAGAAGATCAGGTGACTGATAAAGCCCATGGACTTTGTGTCAAAACAAGTCCTTTTTTCACGCAGGACATTAGTCTTATTACCTATCATCATAAGAGTGTTCAGTTATTATGAGTTTGACTGGGTCCATGAACACACAGTTAAAACATCTGTACCTTTTGTGAATTCAAATCATTCCTGCTTTCTTTCTTAGAGCAAATTGACTCAGGTGAGTGTTGCACCTTCTTGTCATTAAGTTTGAGTTTCCCCAACATTAAGTACAATTGTATTCCATTACCATTACTTTGAATTACATAGACTTTTTTTCTGTATCATGTTTCATACTTTATTTGCTAATATACTACAGAATTACATGCATGCCTCTGGTGCATAAAATTGAGAATATATATACATGTCACTAATACACTTTTCTGACAGCTATAATTGTAGTAATATTCATATATGAATCTGGACTATTATACATTTTGAACAAGTTTTAAAATGAAAATTCAATGATCTAATGAAATCTGGATGTATTCTTAAAATATCTTCAATCAGGATGATACTTTTATGTTTACCTTGTAACATTGCATATTTAAATCATGGTTGTGCCCAAACTGTGTGTTATCTGTTTACAAGAGGAAATTAATCAATCACATTACAAATATAATGCGATTTACTAATGCAATTTGATCATATTTAATATCATGAGTAAAATTAATAATGTACAATTCTTATTGCTTTTGAGTTATGCATTATATAATTAATATAATTATATAATTAATTATACAGCTGAGCTATAAATCAAACTGAGCTTTAAAAAAAAAAAAACTTGAAGCACTTACTACAAGTAGATGTAATTTTTGAAAAATTATTAAAAATGTACCCGTTACTCAGAATTTTATTGATACTGATAAGTCCTTTATTGTTTTGGAAGTATTTTTATACCACATTTTGAATGTTGCAGGGACTCTACATACATGTAATATGTTTAACCTTTTAACTTTTGATTTTTTGTATGCAGATGGGTGGGGTAGTTTTTCTGTTGATTTACTCAAATGAAATTGAATTCATCTCTCTCATATAAACTTATAAGGGAACGACTTTACTTTACCGGTCCCCAGAAAAACATGTTAAAATATAGTGTCGCCGTAGGCGACTTCAATATATATGAGATCACGTGAGCCATCAAAAAAATTAAAAATATGAGGTTTTAAGCCTTTTTTTACCCCAAAATCGACTTCTACGGTTAAAAGTTTAGTTTAAAACTTTGTTTTTAAACGAAGTTTTTAACCTCGTTCTCTGAAAGAAAGTAATATCTATTGTTTATTCAGTGAAAAGGAAACACAAAATAATTGTGAACGGAGCACGTGCGGGGCATGCTTAGTGCCATTTCTTTTGTACTTAGCCATTTTTTTCATGTAAACAAACCAACGAGACGTCGTTGAAGCTGAATTAAGATCTTGCAAAAAATACAGATGCAGCTGAATTTCTTAGTTAATCTAAAAGAACAAGACACTAACCCTAATCTCTCGGATGGTATGCGAGGACTAACCCAAATCTCCCAGGCGGATGCTAGACTAACCCATGTGCGAGGACTAACCCTAATCTCTCGGATGGATGCGAGACTAACCCTAATCAGTTGAAAACTGATGGAAGGACTAACCTTAATCTTTCAGGTGGGTGCAAGACTAACCCTAACCAGTCAAAAAATGTTCAAAACCAACCCTAATCAGTTGAGTGACGTAAGTCTTACGTCATAGTGGAATGAGCGCGCGGATCTTGCGGATCTGGGGACTGGTAAAATAAAGTCTACCCCTTATAAGAATAATGAACATCCAAACTCACAGTATTAGTACTTCATGGTTTCCATTCCTGAATGAAAAAGGTAAAGATAATGAAGATCAATCTAAAAAAAAACTACAAATACAAATCTGTGAACAGGGCATAAAACATGGACCCTGGAGATTCCAGAGGTGGGATCAGGTGCCTATGAGGAGTTAGCTGAACAGATTCTACATTATCGCAGAGAGGTAGAGTTGGCTTTTATTGCATGCACTGCTTATATATGACAATGTTATGTGACATATAAAAAAAAACACATACTCAGATCCACACAGGAAATACCCAGTACACATATCAAAAATAATATTAAAACATACAAATAGCAATTTGGTTGTGATATTCGAAGTGAACATATCATTTTCCACCTAAAAATGCATTGTTTTGGGTACCAAATTTTGCTTACCCATGCAATCATATTACTGTAGATTGGCAAATAATCACAATGGTTTTAATTTCACTATGTTCGCGATTTGTTTTTCCGCGAAATTAAATCCATCATGAATGCTATCATTGTTTTTAAAAACGTTTAAATGCTTATAGGAAATTTAAATTAATTTCTCACAGCGTGAAATTTAAACCATCGCAATATGGTACTTTTTGAGAAATCATGAAATTTTAACACGACTTACGGTATTAATTTAAAAGCTAACACTATAAATCATTAGCATACTTGAATTGCAATCAAGAAGCTACTTTGATGAATTACCCAGTCATCAGCAGATGTATGTTACAGTAGTTGAATATTTATCATGTGAAACGACTCATCTGACCTACAGCATGGTGTAAAACTCAATCCACAGTTGTTTTACTCCTATCATGCCTATATCTTTAATCAATAATTATATAAATGGTGCTTTTATCAGACCTTATGATAGAATTATTTTGATAAGAATGCATTATTATATACAGAGGTATTCATAAGAAATTCTTATAAGTCATTTTCCTGAAGGTATAAATTGATTCAATTATATTGTAGACTAATTTTGTACCTTAACTGAAAATCTTTATATGAATTAACAACTTACATGTATGTATATAATTATATTATTGTATATTCAGTGTGAAAATAAAAAATATACAACTTTCCATGTATTAATTTTAATTATTTCCTTTACCAAAAAAAAAAATGTTGCATTAATATGAGGGCTGTTTGAAAGAGTCTTTACTTTTTTACTTAAAAATGATGCATAAAAAATTATATTCAAATTTGTTAGACATGTTTTAACAACATATTTGCTTGTTTTGAATTTGAAATTTTTATTACAAACAATGCACAAGATAATGTCTATAGTCATTATCTCTGTAAAATGGTGCAAAAAACGAAGGAAAAAATCTAGACATCCATAGTAAGAATTGTTACATTATTTCATATTCCAAATTGTGACTTAACATTTTGCTTTGTTGAAAAGAAATCAATTTCAGAAGATAAGTAGTCCTCATTGAAAAAGGGAAAAAAACTAGAGGATGACATTGTAGAATGTCACGGAGCAGGGACAGGTAATACAATTTTGTGTTGCACACTAGAAAACTCCAGAATAATCTCTGAAAAGGGCTGGAGCTACTGAAACAATTGTTAGTAAGGTAAATTTCAAGTGGTATAGACATTTTTTTAAAGTTGAATATGACATCAGACTGTCTGTGAAATATATAGGGTGAGTATTTTTGAGAAACATCACAATGCTGTTGTTAAGTGTGCTTGGTCACTTAACAAAAACGTTAATTTTAAAATCCAGAAACATGAGTTCCATTAAATCAAATGGAATAAAATTTCACACATCAACAAAATAAATATTTTTACATATGATAATGTGCTGATTTTTAATTTCTTGATTATTATGTAACAAAGATTGATAATGTCAACGAACTTTTCGAACAACCCTTATAATATAAAATATTTCATATCAACATTGAAAAAGGTCAGGTGCCACTACATTGCCAAGCAGATTTTGAGGCAGTGCTTGAAGCATGAAAGTGAGATTACAAAAAAATAGAATTATTGATTATTGGAATGGGTAAATGGCAGGATGAATAACCTAATCTTGTCATGGGGTTGTAACCATCATTGTCATGGTTGGTAGAGAACACCTCCAGTTCCAACTGCTACAAAATTCCAAGACCCTAATATTTGTCAGTCATTCAACATCTGTCTGCAAGTGATGTATGTTGTCAAGCCTGGGTGATGTTTGCATTCACTGAAGAAAAAGTAATAAGTGATCATCCTTCTGTTGCTGGCTAACTCAACACTGTAATGATATGTACAAAAATATTTTTATCTTTTCAGCATGTACAGGTGCCTTCGAGTGTGGTTTTTGCCCCATTTTGATTGTTGTAGTTTCATCTGTTATCATCTGCATCCTCATGTGGAAGGAAGTCCCCAAAAGAATTGGAGGTAAGGTAAAAACACTTGACTCAGGAAGTGGACTGTGTGTTGAGCTCAATTTAAATAAAGTTGTATATTTATCAGCATCTAGTATGTGTGTTTCTATATGTGGTGAGCGAACAGGTTCAAAGCCCTACTCTGTAATTCTTACAATGTACATATACATGTAAACTTTAATTTTTAAATTGTAAATCATAAGTTTTCATTTGTTCTACTTCTATAACAATTTGTAAGTTTTAAGAAAGAATGAAAAGAGTTTATAAATAATTTCATATTTGTCCTTTAAACTGTTTGAAAATACATGTAACAGTTATTATTTTTAATGCATAGTCATGGCATGGTAGAGGTATACTGTTGTAAAAAAAAAATGTCCCAACAATTCTGTAACTTCAATTTTTTAAACACTCTGCTCCCCATTTTAAACTCCCACCTGGGCTCCCCCCTCCTCCCCTTACCCCTAACTAAGGTTTTGCCTCACTAGAATAAAGTAAAGCTATATGTGAATAAAAATGAAATTTTATACTCCACCATAAATATGGCCAAGACATATAATGTTTGTCTTGTCTGTTTTCCGACTTTCTATCCTTCTGTCACACTTTGCGTTTTGGTCAGTTTCAAAGAAACTATTAATTACAAGATATCTTTATCATACTTAAATTTATATAAGTGAGAGCAGTTACACTGACTGCATCAAAAGCATTTGACCCTGAACTTTCCTTTGACCTTGACCTTGCATTTAAATTTGTATTTTGCCCATTTTCAGAGAAACTATTCTAGATATTTATATTTAAACTGATACATAATTTATTAACTATTTCCATTTTTAGGTCACCAGAGTCACTCAGGTGACCTATTGCTATCCGTTCTCGTCCGTCGGCGTGCGTCGTGCGGTGTGCGTCGTGTGTTAACATTTGAACATTTTTAGCTTCTTCTCTAAAACCACTTAACCAATTTCAACCAAATTTGGCATATAGCATCTATGGGTGAAGGGGAACAAAAATTTTGAATTCCATGGTCCCTGCCCCCCTGGGGCCTGAGGGGTGGAGCTAAAACCACCAAAAATAATGCAATCTTTAAAAATCTTCTTCTTTACTCCTGGACATCAAGCAGTCAAACTGTTGGCATCATTGTAATAAGCATTGAGTCCTCTACCAAAATTGTGAAATTCATGGCCCCAGGGTCAGGGGTTCTGGTGCTAGGGTGGGGCTATATAGATCATATAGTGAAAGTACATTATTTCTTTGAAAATCTTTTTCTCTGCTCCTGGGTATTAAATAAAGTAACTAAGTACATAGTTATGAAGAACAAGAGTGCCTCTTTCAAAATTGTGAAATTCATGGCCCCAGGGTCAGGGGTTCTGGTGTTAGGGCGGGGCTCTATTGATTATATAGAGAAAATGCATTAATTCTTTGAAAATCTTCTTCTCTGCTCCTGGGTATTAAATAAATTAACTAAGTATATAGTTATGATGAGCAAGAGTGCCTCTTTCAAAATTGTGAATTTCATGGCCCCTGGGTCAGGGGTTCTGGTGTTAGGGCGGGGCTCTATTGATTATATAGTGAAAATGTATTAATTCTTTGAAAATCTTTTTCTCTGCTCCTGGGTATTAAATAAAGTAACTTAGTACATAGTTATGATGAGCAAGAGTGCCTCTTCCAAAATTGTGAATTTCATGGCCCCAGGGTCAGGGGTTCTGGTGTTACGGCAGGGCTTTATTGATTATATAGTTAAAATGCATTAATTCTTTGAAAATCTTCTTATCTGCTCCTGGGTATTAAATGAACTAATTTAGTACATAGTTATGATGAGCAAGAGTGCCTCTTCCAAATTTGTGAATTTCATGGTCCCAGGGTCAGGGATTCTGGTGCTGGGGTGGGGCTATATAGATCATATAGTGAAAGTGCATTATTTCTTTGAAAATCTTCTTCTCTGCTCCTGGGTATTAAAGTAACTAAGTACATAGTTATAAAGAACAAGAGTGCCTCTTTCAAAATTGTGAAATTCATGGCCCCAGGGTCAGGGGTTCTGGTGTTAGGGCGGGGCTCTATTGATTATATGGAGAAAATGCATTAATTATTTGAAAATCTTCTTCTCTGCTCCTGGGTATTAAATAAATTAACTAAGTATGTAGTTATGATGAGCAAGAGTGCCTCTTTTAAAATTGTGAATTTCATGGCCCCTGGGTCAGGGGTTCTGGTGTTATGGCATGGCTCTATTGATTATATAGTGAAAATGTATTAATTCTTTGAAAATCTTCTTCTCTGCTCCTGGGTATTAAATAAAGTAACTTAGTACTTAGTTATGATGAGCAAGAGTGCCTCTTCCAAAATTGTGAATTTCATGGCCCCAGGGTCAGGGGTTCTGGTGTTAGGGTGGGGCTCTATTGATTATATTGTTAAAATGCATTAATTCTTTGAAAATCTTCTTATCTGCTCCTGGTTATTAAATGAACTAATTTAGTACTTAGTTATGATGAGCAAGAGTGCCTCTTCCAAAATTGTGAATTTCATGACCCCAGGATCAGGGGTTCTGGTGTTAGGGCGGGGCTCTATTGATTATATAGTGAAGATGCATTAATTCTTTGAAAATCTTCTTCTCTGCTCCTGGGTATTAAATAAAGTAACTTAGTACATAGTTATGATGAGCAAGAGTGCCTCTTCCAAAATTGTGAATTTCATGGCCCCAGGATCAGGGGTTCTGGTGTTAGGGCGGGGCTCTATTGATTATATAGTGAAAATGTTATTAATTCTTTGAAAATCTTCTTCTCTGCTCCTGGATATTAAAATGAACTAAGTTAGTACATAGTTATGATGAGCAAGAGTGCCTCTTCTGAAATTATGAATTTCATGGCCCCAGGGTCAGGGGTTCTGGTGTTAGGGCGGGGCTCTATTGATTATATAGTGAAAATGTTATTAATTCTTTGAAAATCTTCTTCTCTGCTCCTGGATATTAAAATGAACTAAGTTAGTACATAGTTATGATGAGCAAGAGTGCCTCTTCTGAAATTATGAATTTCATGGCCCCAAGGTCAGGGGTTCTGCTGTTAGGGCGGGGCTCTATTGATTATATAGTGAAAAGGCATTAATTCTTTGAAAATCTTTTTCTCTGCTCCTGGGTATTAAATAAACTAACTAAGAACATAGTTATGGTGAGCATGACTGCCTTTTCAGAAATTGTTTCATGGCCCTTGGGTCAGGGGTTCTGGTGTTAGGGATGGGCTCCATTGATTATATAGTAAAATTGCATTAATTCTTTGAAAATCTTCTCTGCTCCTGGATATTAAATAAACTAAGTACATAGTTATGATGAGCATGGCTGCCTCAGAAATTATGAATTTAATGGCCTCTGGGTCAGGGGTTCTGGTGAGGGGGGAAGAGCTCTATTGATTTATATATAGTGAAAATCCATAATTTCTTTCAAAATATTTTTTCTACTACTGGTTATAAAGTAAAGAAACAAGTGTATAGTTATAATGAGAAAGGGTGCTTCTTTCAGAATTGTGAGTTCGTGGCCAATGGGTCAGATGTTCTGGGTAAGGATGGGGCTTTATTTATTTAGTAATGTGGTGAAAATGCATTTCTTTGAAAATCTTCTATGCTTCTGGGGATGTTCAAGGCAAACAGAGTAAAAGTTTTAATATGCAAGGGTATTTTTACCAGAATTTTGAACACCTGGACCATTTAGTCAAGTGTTCTAGTCCTGGCCAGGGCTCTATTAACTTGTATTCTGCTGAGCAAAGTTATTCCCCTTTGCCATTCACCTTTGATAATTAATCAATGCAAATAATGTATTTGAAAGCTTAATAGAATAAGAGAATTATGCAAGATAATTTATTGTATAATGAAAAAGTACTTTCATAGATTTAATGACTTGGAAAGTCAGATAGGCAGATAGATACTAGACCAATTATTTTGTTGATGCTAATCATACTATTTTTCTTGCTTTTGGGCAACAAAGCTTCATTTTTCAGTTTATGGATCCTCTAAATTGTTGTATTGTACTCAGGTGACCGTTAAGGCCCTTGGGCCTCTTGTTTTTTTACCTTGATCCTCCCTATGAGCTTTGACTTTATTATTTATTGTCTATAAAATACTGTTTTAAAGAAACTATTCAAGATATTTTCATCAAACTTCATATACAAATTTTCATGTTGCATTACTAATGAACCTTGGATGGGGCATTCATGTCCTATGGACATAAACCTAGCTCAAAAAATCTTGTGAGAAGATGGCAAAGTAGCCTCTGGTGAGCATTGTGGCTTATGGGCCTTTTTCTTCAAATTGCAAAAAATTTGACCCCATGAAAATCAGTGATTATATATGTATTTCTTCTCATTTTTAGGTTTTTCTACTGTGAAGATTGTAATTATTGTAATCTTCAGTGTGGTGGCAATAGGAATTGGACTTGGTTTAGGACTTGGCTTACGAGAAGGAGAAGAAAATTGCTTAAATTGTACGTATTTAAAATGTGTCTGTTAAAGAGCAGAAGACTTACTGCATTGGTAGTCTGTCTGTTACAATACCTGTATATGTAATTGTCTATACAACATCTGTTATCAAAAAAATCTTTATAGGTACTTTAAGCTATTATAATTCAAATTTTTCACATAGTATTCTTGTGTCAAGGAGATTGATTTTGTTCAAATAAAGGGCTTTACCCTCTTTAAAGGCAAAATAATTAAGAAATTGTTAAATTATGATCTCAAAATTTAAAATTTCTTCTTAGAGACGTCTCCTGCATGGCAAAGTGGTTAGAACTTTTGCTCTTGAGTCGCGAAGTAAGGAGTTAATCCTTAGGTCGTTTGTTCAAATCCCACTGCGTGACATGGAGATTTGTCTTTGGGATGAGACTTATAAACCGATGTCCTGTGTCACAGTAGGTGCTGGCATGAAAAAGATCCCTAACTGCTCTATGGCTCTGAGTGCTGAATATAGGTCTAAATTTGCAGCACTTCTAAGGCAAGTAATAGCATCTCCATATAAGAGAAAAATTCACTAGTGGGATGTTAAACAACAAACAAACAATCTTTTTCAAAACAATTAAGGTCATAAATTCGAATACAGAGAGGTTTAGAATCATTAAATCTTGTAAGATGATGCATCTTGGGGCCATAAAACAATTATTAAAAAGTAAGTCACAGTGACCTACTTTTTGAACTTAACAGGCATTCAATTTCGAAGCATTTTAGAGGCATAATTTGGACATATTAAGGCCTATGATCATAAAACTTAAAACTGTAAGTTGATGCATCTTGGGTCCTCAATAAATGTCTACTGAAAAGTAGGTCACCTTGACCTTATTTTTCAGTTTATATGACTGTAATTAAATATTTCAGGTACTAATTGGCTTAGAATTATCAAACTTTATCAGTTGATGCATCTTGGGTCTTTGGAGTAGGTCGACTGAAAAGTAGGTCACCGTCACCTACTTTTGAAAATTTATGGCTTTAATTAAATATTTCAGGAACTAATTTGCTTAGAATCATCAGACTTTGTCAGTTGATGCATCATGGGTCCTTGGAGTACAACTGAAAAGTAGGTCACCCTGACCTACTTTTGAAATTTTATGGCTGTATTTAATATTTTTGGGTACTATTAGGCTTAGAATCATCAAAATTTGTCAGTTGATATATCTTGGGTCCCCTTAGTAGGTTGACTGAAAAGTAGGTTACCGTGACCTACTTTTCAATTTATATGACTATAATTAAATACTTTGGGTACTAATTGGCTAAGAATCATCAGACTTTGTAAGTTGATGCATCTTGGGTCTTCGGAGTAGTTCGACTGAAAAGTAGGTCACTGTGACCTACTTTTGAAAATTTATGGCTTTAATTAAGTATTTCAGGAACTAATTGGCTTAGAATCATCAAACTTTGTCAGTTGATGCATCTTGGGTCCTCAAACTATTTCATCTGAAAAGTAGGTCACTGTGACCTACTTTTGAAATTTTATGGTTATAATTTTAAAAATATTTTAGGTATTAATAGGCTTAGAATCATCAAACTTAGTTGATGCATCTTGGGTCCTCGGAGAATAACAAGTGATAAGTAGGTCACCATGACCAACTCTCAGGTACTAATTGGCTTAGAATCATCTTGGGTTCTCAGAGTGTTTCATCTAAAATGTAGGTCATGATGACCTACCTTTGGAATTTCAAGGGTTTATCTAAATATACAGGATACTTAGAGGCTTCAAATAGAAGTGATAGGTTGTACAGTTTTGTTTTGTTTTGTTTTGTTTTTAATTTATTTACAGAAACAAACAAGTTACATTTATATTCAGAAGCAAATACTTAAATACACATACAGACACAAACTCACATACAGACACACACTCACGTACAGACAAATACACGTGGAAGAGGGATGAAACAAATATCAGTATTACGTAAGTTTACGATAATTTTATAGCATTAGTAAAATAAAACTCCTTTGCTAAACATACTTGAAAAAGACATTTCCAATTTGACCATCTTTTTTCTAATAATTCCTCACCATATAATTTTTTCTCTATAATAAAATAATTATTGAGGTACAATAATAATTCATTAAATATAATGATACTCTTTTTTCGTGATGTTTGAAAAATATATTTCTTTACTAATACAATAATCATATTCAAACCCACATCAATATCTACAGTACAGAATACATTGTATTACATTTTGTATATTAAACTCTACTATTCTACCAGATTTTTGTCGAATCCAATCTTCTAAAGATGACCAGATTATCTTAACTACTTCACATTCAAAAAATAAATGTCTAAGTGTCTCAGGTTCCTGTGAGCACAGTGCACATTGTTTATTATCAATAATTTTTGAAAAATACAAATATTTACTCACACCAAGTATTCTATGTAAAATTCTGTATTGAAACCAAAACAATGGTGTATCTTTTGTTAGATTTTTAAGATTAATATAAACTTGTTTCCAATTAAAATCTTCTTGTAGTGATAAATCATTAGTCCATTTCTTTTCGCACAAAGGTTTATGTTGTCCTTGAGACATAAGCAAAACATATATTCTTCTAGATCCCTTTTTATCCTTACACAAAATTGTTATAAACTCAGGCTGGACTGGTCTTGTTAGTGAAGAAGGATCCAGACATTTTACTTCTGGCATTGCACATAGAATAGCATGCTTAAGACCTTCATATAAGTAAAGGGCATTTTTACATTAAAGTATTTTTTTATTCTTTCATAAGTGATTAAAGTGCCCTGACTAATAAGCAAGTCAGAAACTATATGGAATCCTTTAAAAAAGATTTATAAAAAACACTCTGTTTTTTGTATCTTAATTTTTTCATTGTACCATAAAAGCTCTAACAGTGTGTTGTCCTGCATTATAGATGTAGAAATACTTATAAAATCTACAAGATATGAAAGTGTTTCTTTCCAGAAAGAATTCAAAATTAACTTAGATTTTTGTTTAATGTAATCTGATCCAAATTGACACATCTGTGTGACATTACAACCTGTAATTTCTGTAAGCAACACTGTCCACTGTGTGGACTTGGTTGAAAGTAATCTCCTAAACCAAGTAAGTTTAAGAGATTTTATGAATACTTCAACATTAGTCATTCTGCATCCACCCTTTTTAAAATCTGACTGTAATGTTTTTTGGCTAATTTTATCAGGTTTATTACCCCAAATATATTTAAACAGTAATTTTTCTAGTTTTTTTATCCACTGTGCACTTGGCGTAGGCAAAACACTAAACAGATGAGTAAGTTTGGATAGTAAAATACTTTTAACTACTGTTATTTTGCCTAATGGGGAAATATGTCTTTTGGACCACTGTGTTATTTCTTTTTGAATCCCAACTAATCTGCTGTCAAAATTCAGCTGTTCCATTTTCCTTAAGATTTGCAGTGTATGTAATACCCAATATTGTAAATGGTTGATTAGTCCAGTTCAGATCTGTACAATCACACAGTGTTTCATTTGAACCAAGTTTTGAGCCAATCCAAATAGCTTTAGTTTTACTAATATTAAGCTTTATACCAGAAAATTTAGAGAATTGAAAAAGTAAGTCAAGTGCACTTTTTAAACTTTTTTCTGAGCCATCTAAGAACAACACTATATCATCTGCATATTGGAGTAAACAAACTTTTCCTTACCTATATTTATTCCTTTAATATTTTTGTTTTGTCTAATCATAATTCCCATAATTTCAACACAGAGATTAAATAGATAAGGGGATACAGGATCTCCTTGGCGGCAACCTCGTCCAATTAAAAAGAAATCAGAAAAAATGCCATTTTGTAATACACACAGCTTAGCTTTGTTATATAAAACTGATACCCATTTTATTATATCCGGGCCAAATTTGAACAACTTTAAGGTCCTATACATAAATTTCCATGAAATTGAATCAAATGCCTTTTCAAAGTCAATAAGTAATATGATACCTGGGATCTGTTTTTCAAGAGTGCTATGGATAGCATCATAAATTACACGACTATTTTCTCCTATGAATCTGCCATTGCTATCCAATACATTAATATGTTCAGTATTAATGATGCTTTCCAACTCCACATCATATAAATTATTGTCCCCACATGAATATAATGCCTTATAAAATATTTCTATTTCAGATAGAATATCTGACTGGCCGGTGACAATATTATTATCAGTAACAAGCTTGTTCACAGTTTTATTAATATACATGTAATTTCTTTTCTCTAGACTTAGAAAATATTTGGTAGGCTTCTCTCCATACTCTATCCATTTAAGTTTAGTTCTAGCAAATAAACCTTTAATATATTCTTTTCTAATTTCTTCTAGCATAGTTTGTGCTTGTTTTAATTTTTCAAAAGTGTCTGAAGAGTAGCTACTATCGTTATGATCACTTTCTAATTTCATTATTTCTTCCTCAAGAATTTTTGTTTTATTTTCTTTAAGCTTTTTTTTTAGGTTGTACAATTAATCAGATGAGCGATTCAAGGCCCTTGGGCCTCTTGTTCCACTGTACACAACCAAAAGAATGAAATTTTAATAAAAATTATTTTTCTTTGCCTTAGGTGGAGCTACTGTTGGTATTAGCATTTCACTTGGAGTAGCTCTATCAGTTATGCAATTTGCCATTATCTTCAACTGCAATAATGAGAAAGGTAAGTAAAATCACAATTTTTACTATTTATTTTACTTTTTCTTAGAGCAGATATATAGCTTACTAGAGATTTAAGACAAGTTTTGATACTTGTTTGATGAAATGATAACTGAAGTTTCACAAAAATTATTGTTTAACTTTGATATCAATGAAAAATATGCATGCACATTTTAATTGTGACATTGCATAATTTTTTTTAAAAAAATCTTAAATGACTCCTGGTATAAGGGCTACTAATGCTGAAATTTTCTCAAATCCAAAGTTTTCTCAGAAATTTTACCTTTTCTCAACAAAATGTGCCACCAAATATATTTATCGACAAATACCACCTTGTTGTTTAGTTTTTAGCTCACCTGAGCTGAAGTCCTAAGAAAACTTTCTGATTGAAGAATGTCCATTGTCTGTTTATCTTTGTGTTGTCCATCATCTGTAGACTTTTCACATTTTTTACTTCTTCTTCAGAACAACTGGACCAATTTCAAACAAACTTGCCACAAAGAATCCCCAAGTAAATGAGATTCAAGTTTGTTTGAGGGTCATTCCCTCTTCAGGGGAAGATAATTAAGAATACCTGTACTTAAGATATGGTCATTCAAAAACCACTGAGCCAGAAAAGATTTGATTTAAACAAAAGGTACTTGACATAGTGCATATTCAAATTTGTTAATGTTCTGGCCCCTGCTGGTCACATTCAGGGATCAAAGTTAAAGTTAAAGATCAAAGAAGGATCAAAATATAAACGTAAAAACTGCTTTAAAATATCTTCTGGTGAAGAAACACTGGGCCAGAAAAGATGAAATTTGTTTGAAAGTTTCCTAATAAAGTGCAGATTCAATTTTCTTCAAATCCTGGACCCCTGGGGGACTTCGGAAGATACAGAAATTAATGGGGGGTTTTCTCAAGAAGCACTGGACCAGAATTTATGAAACTTGTGAAAGCATCCTGATACCTTATTAATTAAAGTATGTTCAAATTATGGTCCCTGGGGGTAGGGTGAGGCCACAATAAGGGATGAAAGTTTTGCATGGAAATATATAGGAAAAAATGCTTAAATATCTTCTTTTTAAGAAACAGTGGGTCAGAAAAAAATAATCTTAAAAGAAAGCTTCCTGACAAAGTGTAGATTCAAGTTTGTTCAAATCATAATCCCAGGGGGTAGGAATTACTTTTGCTAAGAAAATATTTTCATTAATTTGATAACAGGGCCAAGATGACTTAGGTGAGCATTATGGCCCATGGGCCTCTTGTTTCTCAATTTTGAGATTTTTCTTAAACTGCATCAAACCACCATTGGGGGGGGGGGGGGGGGGGGGGGTTCTCAGTTCAGAAAAAAATCTTAAGATTTTTTTCAGAAATGATGTAAATAAAAAGTAACCTTAAGTAAATTCTCATAGGATTAAAGTAAATTTTACTTAAATATTGTTTCCAATAATATACTCTTAAATCCCTTTTTGTGAATACAAAAAAACTACATGCAATACAGCTATTTAGCTATATATGCATACTAATTCCTAACAAACTTTATCATCCCTACCTAAGGGTTTGGGTGAGGTTGGGGGAGGGGGGGGGGCCCCATGCACATGTAAAAAACAAAAATTATAATATTTTGGAAGTTTATTATTGGCAATTCTCATTCCTGTGAAATCACAAACTGTATGGATTTTTACATTATTTTCACAAATAACAAAATTTCTTCATTTTTTGAGTATAGAATTTACTTAGTATAAGCTTGCCCCCAGAACAATATTCATGTTTTAATTATATTATAATTCTACACATTACATCAAAAGATCAAGCTAGGGCAAACTTCTGCTTGATAACCAAAATAATGATGTTAGATACAATATTTTCTTCATATAGATCTATTAACAAACATGTCTGTTTTCATGGCTGGTGAAAATAGGCTATAATGCTTTCAAGTTTGCAGATGATCCACCTTGTTTAGATTTCTCAATCAAAGTTTGATTTTGGAGGCAGACTTTGGTCATTACAAAATATAGTCTTTTGTTTTTTGTACCAAGATCTCTACCGTTACATATGAATACATGCATTGTTTTCAAATAGAATCAATATTTAAAATTGCTATTATACAATTATGACTTCTGATGAGGTCTACTTATGACTATGTGTACCTGGTCAGGTATTGCTTGACCGAAGCTGCCCCTGCGAGAGTATCAAGAATAATTCTTGAACTTTTAAGAAAAGTTCATGAAATATATTCTTGAATCTGCTCATGAAATATTCATGAAGATCCTATGAAGTTAAAATTGGACACTCATGATTTCATGAATTTTATTCATGAAAACCAAGTTCAAGAATATTCAAGAATAGTGGGTTGTTCATGAATTACTTACTACTCTTGAAAATTCATGAACTTCCTTATAGAATTCATGAAATCATAGTGTCCTGTGAATTTTAGCTTCATTAGATCTTTCATGAACATTTCAGGAACTTTTTAAGAATATTATTCTTGAATTACGTAATTTGACAGAAGGCCAAATTGGCAAAACCACTGTGAGTACCCTCAAAATACATGTACATAAACATTCTATTTAAAAATTTGATAATATATAAATAATGACTACAATATTCTAAACTAAATGCTATGTATTAAATTAATTCATTGAATTTATAAATGTATACAGCTTTTAGCCAACACACTCTTAAACAATTACATGTACAGCCTGGATCAGTTTCAGAATCTTAAACAACGCTTGTGTTCTTCTTATGGCACGTTCAAGTAAGTCAGATGTCTGTGTTGCATTTGTTATCCCTGTCAACTTTGCTTCTTGACATTCCAAAAATGATTTTTTCTCTATGGGTGTCTGCTGGATCACTCACTAATTCATCCAAAATTGAAATCCATCCTTTAAATCATGACGTGGTTTTTTTTCTAGCTCTTACAATAGGCCTTGTTTTTCATTTCACTCTCCCTGAAATTACATATACATGTATATAAATGATATGCCAAATAGAAATAAATATTACAGGGAACAGGATACTTTTAAATAATATGGGAATTGTGGTGATGCTGCAACTGGAGTCCAGAAAAAAAATATAGGAATTACCTGTCTTTTATACAGAATACTTGGTCTTTAATTTATAAAGAGTCAGGAATCCTCAGAGACCAGTCAAAGTAAATTTGTTCTAATCATTAAAGAAAATTTAAAAATGATTTTAGTTTCAATTTAGAATCAAGTTTCCTTTTTTTTCTTCAATTTGAGCTAGTCCATGGGCACACGGGGGGGGGGGGGGGGGGGGGGGGTTATGCCCCCCCTTCCATTTTTTATTGTAAAATATATAAAAAAAATATTCTGAGACCAAAACACACACGTTTTTTAAAATAAATTTTTTAAAAGATATTTCATTAAAATTCATTTTATTTAACAATAACTGAAATTATATTTCTCTCCGAGTTATCTTTTTTTTTAAATCACGTTTGTTTGGCATGCGTGCAACAAGTGTGCTAATCAAATTTGGAACCAAAATAATTAAAGAATTATGTTCTTACCACATGCTCTCTGTATTGCAGTGGAACACTTCTAGTATACCGGTCCCTATAAATATGGCGCTAAAATAGATGCCGCCGAAGGCGGTGTACAATATAATACGATCGCGTGAGCGATCGACAAAATCGATAAAAAAGGCCACAAATCGCAAAATTGAGCCAAAAATCGTGTTCCTTGTGAAAAATTGGGTTTAAAAAACTGGTTTTTAAACACAGTTTTTTAAATGAGAATTAAAAGGTTTCGTAAAATAACGTACTTGTTTAGTAGATAAAACTCCATTTTGCGTTGTTTAGGAATGTAGTCACATGATCAGTTTTTGACGTAATCTCATAAATATTCATGACGTGCGTCACTTGTGTTTTGACGTAATGAAGACTTATGAAGACTCAAAGTGAAATGCTACTAAAATTGCGAGATTTTTGTGAGAAATGCAGGGATTTAACAAGTGATAACTAATTACTAGTAATTGGTTGATTGAATTGTGCATCACCATTGATTTGAAAGAAAAAATATTCTGAATATGGACATTAGGAGGTTAGGATATCGAGCTTAAGTAAACGGTAAGTCGCTTTTACCAATTACTTGCCAAAACTTACCGCACAATATCGCGTATGTTTCAACATTAGACCAAGGCTAATTCATCCAAGTTTCGCAAAACTTTCCTGTTCTTCCGGTTCTTTGTAAGCAAAAATTGCATGAATAAGCCCAAAGTCGGATATAAGATGCGAACATGGGTGAATATAAAACAGTTACAATATCCGAGCTATATATACTCTAACCCTAATCCGTAGATCGCATACAATGCCATATTTAATTAACAGTTTGTTTAAGTTTTGCATGTTTCATGTTTTACTCCTATAAGATGGTATATCGGCACAGTGCAGTTCGACATAAGGCTGATTCATGCAAGTTTTTGGTCACAAAAGGCACTTGGCAGTGCCTTTTGTAAGCAAAAATTACATGAATTAGCCCTAAGTCAGGAAGATTTAAGAGTGGATTTATAAAACAGTTCCAATCTTAAGACAAAATACCCTAACCCTAATCACTCGATCGAATGCGTTTTGTTGAAGCAAGGGGAAAATGGCGGTTTGTTTACATTCTGCATCGCAACGGCAAGGGAAATAACTGCTCATGCGCAATCGCGTGATTCCGGGGACCGGCATACTAGAAACTTCCCATTGCAGTCCTTCCTTTCGATGAATATAATAGTTAACACTCCATTAAAAAAATGTTGACAGAATCTAGATCTATCGACAATCTTCTGACAATGCAATACACATCTTCCTTCCTTTCAATCTATTGAAAATTTGGCGCTCGCGTAACTGCTTAACTAATCAGTAATGATGTTATAAATCAGCTACCAGAAGCGTCCAATCAAACGACGTTTTCTAAAAACGATTGAGGTTGCGATTCAAATCATACCCGTAATATTAATTGGCCGCCAATGTATTTCTTGTTTGGGGTACCTTGATAAAAAATGGTAAATAAATGG